GTGACTTGACTTCCCGAGGAGCTAGGGAATTCAGGAATTCCCCTAAAAAGGAACCAGGACCGAAACCGTAAAGCCAAGACCGAGATGGATTTTTCTCGTCACTCCTTGGTGTGGGTAAAAAAAATCCACCGGGAAAATTTCCAGACGGGTTTAATATTAATCGGACCGTTCTCCGTTATCTGGGGAAGTCCTGAATAGGTCTGCGGGATTTTTCTGAAAAGGCGGAGGCTGTCTGGACCGCCGCGACTCGGCCCCCCACCTGACCTTCCGAGATGAATTGGTCAATCTCGCGTATCTTCTCGGAGCCATCGGGCAGTCCGTCAGAAAGCCCCGACCTTATTGTCTCTACTTATCGTCGGGACGGTCCGTTCGATGTATCGCGACGAGAGGAACGGTTTCTGCGATAGGGAGATCGCAGATATCGAAAGCCGGCCGGGGGCGCCTTCGGATGAATTATTCCCGAGGAGTTTATGGTAGCGAGCGCGCCGGGGCTTGACAATGTGGTCCGGCGATGGGACGACGCCCACCATGGGCATGGGTGCTATTGAACCCTGACCTTGGACCAGGGGGACCAGTGGAACCAGTGGGACCGCGCTTGGAGATTGCCGGGGCAGAATCTGCACCTCCGCGAGTCCGCCGGTGCATAACTGTCCGTCCCTCCTGCGAGGTGCATTATGCGTCCACCGAGAGTCCTACGGCAGCCCCGAAGAGGTCGATCGACGATCCTCGAACCGGCAATTTCAAGCACGACCGGCTCCAGGAGGGGAGACCGACCCACCCCCCGCTTCAGAAATTAAATCCAAGTAAGTTTAAAAAAAGAAATTAATTAAATCAATGATTTGCCTTATTTTAACTTCTAGAGCTCGGGGGGCCTAAAATATCCCCTCGCTCCTGGATCTGAATTTTACGACCGGGTTTGGGGGAGACAATCGCGGCGCTAACTCTCGTCATCTCGACGAGGAAATCACCGATCTGGAGTGCGAACCGAGTCCGTCTCCAGCCGCGTTTTGGTAGCTCACCTTGAACGCAGGAGGCCGCATTTAGCAACGACGTTAATCCGATTAGCACCGAGAGTCACTAAACTAGTTACGGGAACTGTATGGGAGACGATAGCGTCCATAGGTGAACCGAGTTTCGACGGATCGTTTCTTCCCCGGGGAAAAGACCGCGGGATTCTTCCGGGGCGCGGTAACGCATCGTTATCGGCGGATAATCGGTGTACAGGAAATGCTCGATGATGGGTAACAGGTTGCATGCAAATCTTCGAGCGGAGCATCGCCCTGGATATTTGGCGGACGGGGATGTGTCGTGTAGTTGTCACGGTTCGCCAGACCCCGAGTCCCTCGGGTCTTAATTAGAATTTTAATTGCACGCAACCGGTGCGTCCTTCCCAGTTCAGCAAGTATGGGCGCGTGCTCTGAGGAGAGGGAAAAGGTATCTGTACCCGCCTTATCGGCGGGTTTAGTATTTTACTGCGTCTCGTGCGAGCGCGTACCGACAATTAGGGAGCCGCTCAGCCCGTGTAGAACGGTATGCTAACGAGGATTTTAATAAATATGTATTTCAATGAATACTCCCGGAGGAAGCCCGGACGGTAATCGCCTTCTGGATGCGCCCTGGGAATTTTATCGACGACTCGATTGCGCCTCGATCGCGGTCGAATCTCGCCAGGATCGAAAAAGTCCGCACTAAACGTCTCGTTAATTAAACGCTCATCCGAGTACCTAGATAGGCTGTTTAGGTGGGTTATTACAGGTAATTCCGAAGTGCCACGGCAATTAGCCGTCACCGAGTGCAACGAGCGCGGTGCATTGGGCTCCTTTCAAAAACCTGCGTCCTGCCGAGGCGGACTCCATTCGTTACCGTGGGAACTGAAACGCGACATTGACTCCATTTAATTATTGCCCCCGGGGATTAATGTCGGATGATTCGAAATATCGCGTTTAATCGACACCCAGGACCGTCGCGGGTTTCCCGGGACGGGGGGAAAAAAGTTAAACAGACGGGAATAAGTGCAGCCACGTTTCCCGATATCCTTTTCACCGGGGATGAAACGAGGAGCTCCGATTCTCACGACCTCGTAATCTTCCCGGCACCTTCCGGGTCTCCGAGGATATCCGCTGAAAGAGGCGCGGATCCTTTTGTGCTGGTCCGATAAAAGGGGAGAGAGCCGGTCTCGATCAGCCCTGCAGGAGTCTACCCTGAAATCCAAGATGTCGATGCATTTACCTTTAATTTTGATTTTTCCCCCGACCCTCTCGAAATGATAAAAAATTTTGCGCCTCCCTTAGCCGTTTCGATATCTCCCCCAGCGCATTGCGGATTCCTTATCAGTGACTCTTTCGATGTTCGGAGCTAAAGGGACCGATCAGCGCGTAGCACGTTTTTTGTGCAGCGCTTCGGCTTTCAGGGGGTAGACACCTGCAGGTGCGTAATTAAATTTCGCACTTGTCCCCGTTTTGTCGACGCCCCTTTCAGCGCATTGCGGATCCCTTGTCTGTGACCCTTTCGACGTCGGGGCTAAAGTGACGGATCAGCACCTGTTCTCCGGGCAGCGCGGCAGCGCATCCCCTCTCGGAGACAGGTGCACGCAGGTGCGGAGCAACGCGGCGCCCCGTGGGGTGAATATCGCGGGATCGACGTTTTCAGGGCAGTCAGTAGCGAGCCGGTCAATACTAGCGCCGCCCGGGACGCTGGAGGGGGTTGGCGGAAGTGAACCGTGGTGGCAAAACCCCCAGCTTCTAGGGGGATTTTTGGCCGAAAAATCACTAGCGACAATCTGCCCGGTGCGGACGTCGATGCACGGCTGCGGACCGTAACAGGTGCCTCTGCGTACAGCTGATGGGGTGCGGCTGGGAGGGTAGCACCGATTCGCCCACTGCCGAGAAGGGGTGTCGGGGGTGGAGGCTGGCCTGGACCGGTCAAGCCGTTCATTTGCGCCGAGACGGTCACCTCGTAAATCGAACTCCGGATTAATTAAGAAAATACCTTTGGGCAACTTTTGGGAATTTTTTTTTAATGGACAATTTCACGGGAATTAATCGGGACATTTTTCCTCCTGCTTATCGGGAAGCTTATCGCTCCCAATTAATCTCAAACGCGGCACTTTTTGTCGCGGGGCGAAAATTACGTAATTCGTGATGGTCGAACGTTCATCGGAATTTTCCGGGCGATTCGACTCGTCAATTGACTCGTCTCCAGTATGTCATCCCTAATGACCAGTCACCATTAACCAGGGATGGTGCACGCTATGTACTCCGAGGATCGATTGCAGATTAGGTTCCGATGATGGAATCGCACGGTATAAAAGGGTGCGGAGGAAAAGGGTTGGTCTTTCGATTCGAAGGATGCGCCCTTCCGCGCCGTGCAGGACGCGGTTTCCGCAGTTATTACGATTCATTTCTCGGCCGCGTTTACCCAGGGGTGGGATACACAGGGGGTGGGGTGGAGTTAATTCGGAACTACACGCGGCATACGTGCGGGATTAATTGCCCAGGGGATTTATCGGATTCCCCGGTAGTTGTGTGACAACAGATTTGAGATCGAAGAACGTCCAATCGAGCGAGCAGGCGGACGCTGCGGTATAAATTGAGACGTCAATCGCGAAACATGTCGATCGAAGAATCCCGGAAAGAATTCTTTTTTTCTACTCGGTCGAATTCGTCGGTTTATTTCCCTCTCGGTTGGGGACGGGATTTTCTGGCTGAAAACGGCGCGATACGGGAAAACGTTTCGAACGAAAGTTGCGGAGCGCGATACGCGGGGCAACATTCGTTTGAAGCGTTTCGTCGTATCGTGTCCCGGCGAGGCGGAAAACGCGACGGAGTGGAGCTCGTCGATAGGCGCGCGCGGTCCTCCGCCGTGCCATTACCGTACCGTTACCACTTCGGCGAGTATCGCTCGTATCCACTTCGGAAACGTTCCGCAAGGCAGGAAGCGGCCGAGTGCAGCGATCTCTGGTTCCGCGCGTCCGTCTAGAGTCCTCGATTCGTCCTTAGCGTCCGTCCGGATCCATCCGAAGGGAGAGAGGGTGGGAACCAGGAGGAGAGAGAGGGCGCGAGGCGAGACATAACCTCTTTGGCTCCCCGTGAACCATCTCGCCGCATTTCGAGGCGATCGATGCCTCTCGAATGCGGCGCGATCTCGGACTCGCGGGGAAAAGATCCTCCTCGGCATCCGCTCGCACGTATCCGAGATGTAAAAAACCGGCGAGAGAAGGACAAAACCTTAAAAAGAGGAAGAAGAGAGAGGGTATCAATGAGGAACGGCTACGCAGGGGCGTGCGCGCGCCGCCACTCTACGGCTGCCGCACCACTGCCGTACCGTCTCTCCTCCGGCCCCGAGAATTCCTCGCTCCGGTTAGAATTTTCCTAATTTGCAAAAACGCTCTCCCATGGCTCGCCCTTAGGATAAACCCTTTCAGGGGGCTCGGGAAAGCCGCCGCTGAACGTTCCCGGCGTTCCCGATTTCCGTTGGAGCCGGGTCGTCCGTACGAAAAATGCCTCATGCCCGGTCTCGCCTCGGATCCATCGGAAAGGGTCGGCGAGGGCGGCCCAGCGGGAGGGAGCGAGAGGTCCGCGTCGAAGGGTGGGGCGAGACGCGGGAGCGAGAGAGAGGCGAGCGTCCGGCCGGCCGGCACTCCAGGGAGTGCGGTGGTGGGGGGTGACCGGCTCCTTTCGAGCCAATGGGAGGGCTCGCCGGCGGGTGCGCGGTGGGTCGCGCGCAGCCTCCTGCGGCCGGCGACGGTGGACGGCGCACGGCGCGAGGGGGCCCCTCAGAGTCCGTCAGACAGCCGGCGGCCCGCATCGCGAGCTGCCGTCGAGGTTTCCGCAGCCTTCGCAAGAGGCGGACAAGAGGGACACCGGCGCGACCGGAGGAGACCCGGCACTCTCCTCAGTACCTCCTCGTCCTCCCGCCGCCGAGGCGGACGTATCGCCTTTCTTTCCTCGAGGCCGCCCGGAAGGAGCACAGCGAGCCCCCCGCACCGCCCCCTCCCCGGGGGAGGGATTCTCTCTTGACATTTCCGGTCGTGCATTACCTCCCGAGGCGGAGGTACGGAAAGGACCTTCCGGGGATCTGGGACCCTGGAAACCAGAGGAGATATAAGGTGGGCCTGCGAGTTAGGTTAGGTCAGCCCCTCGACCCTCCGCCTACCCTCCACCTTTTCCGAATAACTCCTCCCAGAATTTCCATTTGAAAAATTTCATTTAGTCGAGGATCTTATGTGAACTCTGTTAAATATTAAACCCCCCTCTGCCACCTCGCCTCTTACTCATTGTACGCTCTAGATTTCTTACATTTACCCTGTTTCGACTTTTATACTACTTTGGGTGTGGTAAGCTCCCTCGCCGATTTGGGGCGGGTGACTCACCCCCCTCGCTCGTCCCCAAGGACCCCGTCTCCCGTTTTCGCAATTTCTTATCGGCGATCCCGACGGGGGAGGGTGAATCATCGCGCCGTGTTCTTGTGTAAGTCCTCGGGTCTGCCTACTTTGTTTATCGTTTTCACCTCCCGGGAGCCGAAATCCCGGTAATTCCTGTTATCGAAGCTTTGTGAAATTTCTACTCGGCCGCATTTTCCCGGGATATGCGAAATCTAGGGCGAGGGCTTTCGGTTGCTAAGCGAATTTACGAGGTCGCCTTTTTTCCCCCCTCACGCACACCTCGGAGTCGTCTCACCGGTTTCCCGGCCGTACTCGCGCGATAATCGCGACTCTCCACGGGTGTAATCAATTTTTCGCTCCTTTTCGGGAAGATGCGGCCCCCTCTGCGGATTTTTCCCGGCTGAGCGAGCCGCCGAATTTTTTACGCCCCTTCGACGGATTTCCTGACTTTCCGCAGGGAAACTTCTTTTAGAGGTCTAAAACGTCCCTAGGAGATGTGACAAATTTTTCTAGAATTTTTTTTTGTTGTTTTTTTTTTACGGGGTTTTTCTAAACGGAAGGATTTTTTTTCCCTGCCGGAAGCTCGATCGCGTCGAGGGGGGCCGAGTTTGGATATCAACGGGAAAAACTTGGACCTGGGGAGCCTTTATCGCAGGACTTCTTGCTGCCGGGCGGAGGTTAGGCTAGGGAGGGGTTGTTACTAGGGGCTTACCGCAGTGCGGGGAAGTGGGGAGGAGTGAAATTTTCATTCGTATTTGTTGCGTGCGACGAAAAGGGGCGCAGGGGCCCGTGCGGATCGTATTCACCGGCTACGCCTACGCGTCTTATCGATCAAACCTCCTTTCTTATTTTTTCCCCCTTTTTTTAGTTCCTTTTTTTCGGGGGTCAGAGGGCTTCCACTCCCCTCGAAGAAGCCGCCCGCTGTCGGGTCTCCTATCCTTGGGATAAATTTCAAAGTGCGGGAAAATATGTATTAAGGCCGTTTTTTACTTGCTGGGAGTACTTTCTGATAACGTTCACGTTTAGCGACGTGGCACGGATGGAGAAAGACCGTCAATTAATGGAGAGAGGGATTTTAATTTTCGGAGAGGGGTCTGCGACGCTCTTGGTTGTAGTTTCCTATTTTTGGTGCCCGCCTTTGTCCGCGGGGGGTCTCCAGCCTCGGCAGTTTTGGATCTATACCGTCTTTCGAAAATCCTGCGCAATGGAGACCCCCAAGGCTCTTTCCGTCTTTTCCTGCGGAAACGTACACTTCCAGGTCCTGCGCAATACGGCTCCACCTTCTCAGATTGATTGTGAAACGTCGGGCAAGGGAGGGAGGGACGGAGGGAGGGAGGGTTACTCCTGGAGATTACTCTGCCCCCCTCGACTTCCCAAATTTTCCTCATCTAATCAAATCGATCGATCGAGCGGAGGAGTCGCGGCTCCTTCGCCGTCGATCCTCTCGATTTGCATTAAATTGCATTTTCCATTAAATTCGACGGCGACCCGAGTATCCGTCATCCGATTTACTCCGATATTTCGGCACCGGTCGGAATATTATTTTCCTCGGCCGAATTTTAATCATAAAAAAATTAATTGAAACGTAACTTTCGCGAGCGTTCTTGATTTTTATTCGGATTCTCCTCGGTAATTGGGAGTTGTTAACGGTGGATCATTTCGGGAACCGATCATGGGGATTGATGGGAATCGCGTAGCGGCAATAGACAGAGGCATCGATTTTTCTCACCCGGACGACAAACGTCGGAGTTTAATTGCTTTCGCTGTAGGCTTAATCTTCATCGCTGAATCAACAGCCGGAGATTAAATATCTCGGTGGAGGAGAGTCCTGTGGGAGGCTCCTCGGGATCGGAGAGGGGATTAACGCTGGACCTTTAAAACCCGGGGCCGGCTTCGATCCCTTATCGATAACACGGCTGGTGGGTTTAATTGCGCGGTCTCGTCTCGTCACCGGATGCTGCGAGATCGCCGATCGCATCGATTTCGGATTATCGAATTGTCCCTCGTGATTTAGCCCTCTAATAGATGGAAATGAGGGAAAAAATGAAAGAAAAAAAAAAATTTTTGTCGAGTCGAGAGAAGAATTTCGAGAAGTAGGGACTCGCCAACTAGTTTGACGACCAGTGGTCAACGTGCGGTCAGTGGTCAGACCTACGGCCATTCGTCCGTCGTCGTTCCTGCCGTGTTACTAGGTGCTACGTTACTAATTACAGGAGTGGAAGACTCTTTAGGCCTGTCATTACCTCGGCCTGCCGAGTGATAACGGCTTCGAAGGTTTCCCTGATTCGGACGAGATTTGTTTTGCCGGTGTACGGATTTTTCATAACTCTCTTTACGGTTCCAATTGCCGTTTTATCATTCGAATTTCCCGCCTCCGGGCGGTGTTTCACGAGGTACATTGTATTAACGGGGACTCGTCCGTTGTCATTATCCCGGAGATCGCTCAATGACGTTACGCGATTTAAATCACTCAGGCCGTCGCCGCCGTATCGGCCTCTCGCATATTAATGATTGATAATAACCACCTACGGGGAGGCCCGTCCTCTCCGAAGGATTAACGCGTTATCGTAAATTAACCCCGGCCCCTGGAGCACCGCCGTGGAAATATCGAGACACCAGTTTCGTCGTCTGCGCCCGGAGCGGATGACACTTGATAAATATCGAAAAGCCACTTTTGTCGTTTCTCTTCGGACCTATATGAAAAAAAAATTAAAAAAAGGCAAGGAAAATTTCGACACGCCACTTTACGCCCGACGAGTGGAAATCACTCCAATTAAAACGTCACGTCGGAGTGATCGATATTTCAATTTTTATCCGCCGCTCTTTTCGGTTTTAATTCGACGCTCCGGGAGGAAATTAGCATCTTTTGCGGGGGGGGGGGGGGAGGAGGCACACCTCGTTACGTCGTTCGAATGCACGTCGCATAATTTATTCCACGTTTCTGCGCAGACATGAGCACCATGGATCCTGCCGGCGACGGGGGCGGGGGAGGAGGACCCACTTCCGGCCCCGAGCAAAACGTCACCCCGGGAACACCCCCCTGTGGTAATCCGCCCCCGGGAACCCAGCAACAGCAACAGCAACACCCGCCACCCTCACCCCTCAGCGGATGTTATCTACTCGTCGTGCTTCCCGAGCCCCACACCGCACAACACAAGGACCTCATCCTGAATCGCCTCGCAAAAGGTGAGTCTCATCATTTTTATTTACCCAGTAACTCCTTTTACAAATTACAAATTGAGAAAAAAATATATATATATAAATCTCAACTTTTGGACATTCGTCCGCCGTGGAAAAAAATATGAGAGGAATTATTGGGTAACAATAAATCCGGTAGCGATGTGCCATAAGGATTTGTAACTCGGGGGAATGGATTCTTTTACACCCTGGGGATGAAATGGCGAATATAGGGAGGGGTGGATTCGTACGGGGATGATCTCAGAATTTTCCATAAGGAACGCGAGGAGTGACTGGCCCGTCAGGCCGGATAATCGAAAAAGTCTCGACCTGGGGAAAACCGAGGAATTATTCGGGCTGCACCCCGCCGTGGGGTTTATAAATAGTCCTCTTCGGGGAGCGCCGACTCTTCAAGAAGCCGCCCTTCCTGCCGTTCGGGATGCCGTGACTTCCGCGTCTATATGGCCCATGCTCGCATACGTGGACAGAGATTCGACTCCCCTGGTCCTTTTCAACCCGTGGACGTTTAAAAGGAGATCGTCCCGCGAGATAATCCATCCCCCGATCGGGCGACTCGAGCTTTTAACGCTAACTACCTTGATTTTCTACTCCAACTCTTGGATCTCGTTGAGGCGGCTTTTAAAAGGAGGATAAAAAGTGTCCGTAAAAAGGGGAGAGCGACGAGAGGGGGGCGATCAATCGCGCCGCCGGTGTGTCTAACCGATGCTCCTCTTTTTGGACTTTCGCCGCCAGTGGATGTCAATTTTGAAAAATACTAGGCGCGCTTTACGACCCGTTTAGCGACTTCCGACATGACGCCGGCGTGTCGGACAACGACGGGACTTGTCCCTCCGAGTACGCGACACAGCTTTAACGGGGGTCCCTCTTCGGGTATTCGCTAGAAAAAGAAGTGTCGCGATATAATTGGATCCTCGTGGATGCTTCGATGCGACATCCATTGTTCCTTTTCCCTCGACTAGGTCGGTACCCACCGGCGAAGCTGGATTCGTTTGTCAAACCGCGACCGACTCCCCTCTTCGGGGCTAAATCGACCACGAATTGCATCCCCTGAATTTGGTCCGAAATCTTGGGTCCGATGATTGCCTTTTAATTTTGAGGTGGGGTAAAATGACGTTTGAAGGTTTTTTGGGGGATTTTGAGGTGCCTAACTATTATTTGGGGGTCATTCCCCTAGGGGGACTCGCGGGACCAAAATGGCGTCCTTCTGCAAGGAAAGGGAGAAACGAAGCGGCAGGGTGGGAGCGTGTCGGGCCATCGTTCGATCTCTCCGCAATGCGCCATTGTCGATTCCCGCCCTTAGCGGGAATTCCCCTAGACCGAAGGGAGGAACGCGGTTTTCCACCCCCGCGACTCGCCGGGAAGATTTAAACGTCCCTCCTTTTCAATCCACGCGTTTATCCACAATTTTCGCGCTTTCCTTCCCCGTAGTTAAAACCCTCCCGAAATTCCCCGGGAATTTTGAGCTCGTTATTTTCCTCCGGATACGAGGTTTCCTCAAAAAGGCGTCCTTTTTCTTTCCGGGATTTTTCTCCATACTTCCGGAGGGGAGATTTCCTTTCCTGCGGGGTCTTTTTGGCCGGGGGCATCCGGGGGCAAAATAGTCGTGCAAAAGCGGTCCCGGGTAAAAGCGCCTTGAGAGTTTTGCTCTCATTAGGGACGTCGTTCGACTTTACGTACGCCTGGACGTCTCGCGTCGCGTAAATCTACCGGTGAGGGGGCGCCTCGACGGTGCGCGTCGTCGGGCCTCTCTTTGCTCCTTTTGGCCGCGCGCTGCCCGAGCCCCGTGAGTGCGGGAGAGACGGAGCGAGGCGGCGTCGCGGGCACGCGAGAGAGAGGCAACGAGGGAGGCCCGCTCCCCATGCGTCACATCTCGCGATTCAGGGGGTTGACGAGAATTACGAGCCTTAAATGCCTGTTTGTATTTATAGACCATCCCCGTTTCCCTTCCTCCACTTTCCACGTTCACGACTTCATTTTCGAGCCTCGGGATATTCCCTCAAATCTTCGGGAATTTAATTAATTTCGGGAAAAATTATTATATATATAAAAATACTGAAAGAAATTGGGGGACCTTTCATCTTTTGTCGATTTGAATCGTTTTAACGGTGGGTTCGAGCGGAACTTATTCCCCCGGAAATTGGGAAGGAAGACCGCAGGATTGATAGGGTAGGTCGCGGTCGAATCGGATCCATCTATATCCGTTTTATCGGCGAATCTTGCGAATCTTGCCTCCGTCGTCCCTGGTCGGGAGGATAGGCGGTAATTCGCGACACACCCTGGCTCTCCCTCGTTCTTCTCGTCGCCTGACGAGAAATGACGGCGAGAACCGAGAAGGGGATTCTTACCCTCGCGTTGGACGGAGACCTCGTCTATTTTCGGACGTTTCTGCGTCTCTCGGCGTGTCGTCGCCCCTCTTCGTCCCAGCCTCTCTGCCCTTAGCCTTGATCATCTCCTCGAGAAATTTTGGCCGCTTTCTCTACGCCGTCGTGAAACGTCATTTAAATAATATTTTTTAAATTCGAGGACGTGAATACCATTTTTTTGAGGAATCGCTACAGCTGGTATGCGTCGATCTCTTTTTCGCCTTTCGGGGCGATAAGCTTTCGAGGTATCCTCGACACCTCGAGGTCGCCGTCGATCCTGTTTCGCTCGCCAGTTAATCAAACCGCATGCAAATGGCGGGAATAAATTTTTTTCCGGAGCCCCCAGGATCTCGACAGGGCGTTCGGCAAGAGTGTCCGTAAATTTACGCCCATCCGAGACACTTTGATGACGGACGATGTCGTAAACGGTGGTGCCCTATCTCTCGACTTTTACATCCTCGTTCCCCGAGGAGAGGCTAATTTGCGCCAAGAAATTGGAAAGTAGAGGCCAAACGTAAACCGCGACGTCTTCGACCTCCTCCAGGATAAATTTCCCCCAAAAGGAATTTTTTTCCCTCCGGGAGGAAACGTCGAAGAGGATCCTCGGCAGAAAAAAAAAATCGGAATTCGCCCATTCTATTTTCGCGCATCTGCTGGTCATCTCTAGGAATTGCCCCGAGACCATCTTCCGTGCCCAGATACATACTTTCTCAAATACTGTATACAATACCGAGCCTCCTGTGTTTGGATTAGCATCGCCTCGAAATTCCGATAGGCCGAGATCCGATCGAGAGAGAAGAAATTGAAAATCGGGGATTCGTCGATAAATATGGATACTGCCTGCCTCTGTCCAGGTAATCTCCCGGAAAATTGGAAAAAATTCTCGACCAGCCTCCTAACTGGACCAAAACTGTCGTTAACAAGCCTCTGAGAACGTAATCTGCATCCGGGAAGTTTGCCTCCCTCCTCCGGAGAATTTTCCTCCTCGACGAGTCTCCGTAATTCGGGAATTTCTCGGGGTAGGGCGAATAAGAAGGAGCGAGAGAGACGCCCTGCACGGACGGCGCGGGGGAGCGAGAGAGACGAGGCTAGCACGCAGCCCGGCGCGACATGCGCGCTCTCCTGCTCGCCTTCGTCCACGTCCGGAAGCTCCGATCAATAAGCCATCCACGGGGCAGACGGAGAGGAAATTTCGCCGATAAGCCGAAATAAGGAGCCAGGCCCTTCCCGGAACCTCCCCCGAGGTCATCTTTCCCGGAAACAATCCCGTTTATCGAGCCTTGTTCCTCGAACTTCCTCTTCGGAGTATTCTTCAGGGTGGCCGGTCGACCCCACGCGCTACTCGCGATTGGGCGATTTATTCCGTCCACGATTCCGCGATGAAACGGGACACACGTAGTCCAATCGATCCTCCTTTTCTGGGGCTGAAACCGACCCTGAGGTCGTTCTCCATTTTTCTTCGGCTCCTCCAGACACCGCAGCTTCCCGTTTGCGGCTCTGCTTTCTCCTTGGAGCTCTCTCTCTTTTTCCAGGCTTTCCTCCTCCGCGAGAAATCCCCCGACAGCTGGACCTGAATCTGTCCTCGATCTCTCCCCTCTTTCCTTGTCTACCCCTCGAGACGTGGGATTTATTTCATCTTATTTTATTTCTTTTATACTTTTCGTATTTTTCTTTCACGACCGATTCGGAAAATGGCAAGTGGGTCACGTTAAAGGTTCCCGGTCCATGTTAAACGAAAGACTGCGGATCCCGGCGGGTCTCTGCAGGGTCTCTTGACATTTGTCAGTCGGTCGCGAATGCTCACACGGATGAACGGGCTCGAAAGTTCAGTGAACAGCGAGCAGCCTCGGGGTCGACGTCCCGCAAATTCTCTTCGAATCTTCCCCTCGACAAAAAAAAAAAAGAGGGATTAATAAATGATAAGAATAAAATTCTCTAGAATTTTTAAGCCGCGGTGCGTCGAGTACGCGGATGTACCAGGATGAGTACGCATGACTCGGGGGGCACCCACGTGGAGTTAGGCGCGATAAGGCCGAATCGAGACGCGGATTCATTCATAAGCTTATCAGAGATGCCTCGAGACGATTTATGAATTAATAAATCGGGGCTTGGAAGGGCACGGGTGGGGACAGGAGCACAAAGGGCATAAAGGGGACCGCTTCTCGGTAGGCCGCCCTATAGGGAGCTGCCACAATGTATGTACGAGGATGTACATAGATGCATGTATACGTACATGTCCGTAGATATACATATGTACGGATGTAAGAACGCGGACGGATGTGTAACGACGTACGGCGGAAGGACCCTGTGTACCCACTGGTGTACCTGCGAGTTCAGGTACTACATGTACCCCTCGGTACATACTCCTGGCCCCGCTGGGGGAGAGGCACGTTTTCGCGAGACATAACGCCCTATGTACCGAGGCTTCATTTTTTATTCACCCACTTCGCTTTATGACTTCGTCCTTATGTGTCGGGAAAATAGGTCCGGGTACAAAGCCGAAGGACTGCAGGCATTAAACCCATCGGGGGATGACAATCCGCGACCCCCTTTTACCCCCCCGAGTAATTCCCTTCCTATGTGCAAAACGCAAGAAATGGAATGCGCTGGGAATTTGTTATTAAT